ACTCATTTGATTTTAATATCTAATCATTTTTCTTCGGAATTTGTTGATTACTTTTCTAATTTATTTTATCGTAGAATTTATTCGTTGCCAAATTTAATGCATTATAATGTTTTTATGGAATTTAATTAATAAATTGAAGATGATAGGCTTACAATACACACATATAGTTTTCTTAGGGAGAGTTTCTAAGATCTGAACAACTAATATATAATATAAGAATCTTTAAAAAAAAATGTATTTTTCTTGAATTTAATTGATTACAAAGTTAGAATAAAATATAGAACAAAATAAAATTTAAATGTTTGTATATCATTTTTATTTTTTATCCCAACATCTTAGTGCTGTTAGAATATTCCCAAATAATCCTGGATCCTTTTGTTCAACTTTTGCTTTTAGAATTTTTGGTGACTAAATTAATATTTATATTTACATTAGTAACCTTTAAGCTCACTTATTTTTATTCAGCTTACTAAAGCTGTTCTAATAATTTCTGTTTATCTTCTTTGTCATAAATTAGCCGAATAATATCATCAACCATCTTTGGATTAATTCTCAATTATATTCCTGCCATTACAATTAAGATTTGATTAACCATTGGGATTCCTGAATCTAAAATCTTGGTATTAAAAATTAAATTCTTACCGAATCCTTTTGAACACCAATATTAAATAGCTTTAGCTGCAATTAATATATCCTTTGTAGTTATAAAAAGTAGCAATCTCTAATGTAACCATTCAAAAAGTTCATCATCATTCATGAAATCTAAATCAATTAAGTTACTTTTGTCTAAGTTAGGAAAATAGCTTCATTCATTTATTATCATTTACTTATTCAGAAACAATTGAATTTAACTTTACATATTTTAATATTAATTAAAAATATGAAACTATTGTATACATAAATTAGAATAGAAAAATTTTATGACCATCTAATTTTGCTTTTAATTATCCTGTTTTAACATCCCATAAACGGATTGAGTTATCATCACTACCTGAAGCTAAAGTAGTTCCATCTAGAAACATACTGACCATACTCCATTATTATGACCATCTAATTTTGCTTTTAATTATCCTGTTTTAACATCCCATAAACCGATTGAGTTATCATTACTACCTGCCATCTTATGATACTCAAAATCTTAACATAAATATTAGAGTTTATACTTTATATAAAAGTAATAGAAATTCAATATATATTAAATATTATTGCAATTATTTTTACCACTATATCTCTTCTCAAGGTTTTGAAGTTCATTCGTTTTACAAAAAAAGTGTTTTCTCCCATATAATTATTCGATTTTTGTGTGGAAAAATATTTTGTTTTTGACAAAAATAAAATGTTATGTATATTTAATATTGATATTTTATATTGATTTATTAATTCTATATACTTAAAGATTCTAGCTAAGCATTAGATCATATGAATTATAATTTGTTAATTTTACCTCTATTACAATGAAAACTTAATTTCCATAACATTTTATTTTTATCTTAACTTTAATGCATAAGATACTTTTTTTGATTCATAATATAAAACCTAATTAAAAGTAATAAAAATTCAATATTATTTTTTTTAAAAAGGAATGGAATAGAATAAAGATTTGTATGATGTCTTAGCTTCTGCAAAAGATTTAGACTAATAAATATACAAGGTGATAATAGAAATTTTGAGAAAAGAAAAGGTTTCAAACTGTTTAAAATATCTTTCAGATATTGAAAATCTCTCAAGTTGTTAATAATACATTTTAAAAGTAACGATTAAAACAAACATCGATTAAAAAGAAAAAGAGGAGATGAGAAATAAATTGAAGATAATGATGGATATTTTGAAATCACTTAAAGATCATGACTTTAATCATATAAATTATTCTGAAGACATTTATAAAGAATTTAGAAAAGATCTACTAAAAAAAATATCAAAAGATGATTAAATAGTCGAATTGTTAAAATTTTTAGTTCAACTCACTACTGTAGATGAAACATTTATTTAATGTGGGTCTAATGGACTTAATTTATTAGTAGATATGAAGGTTGATTTGACAAACCAAAGCTTTGAAGATGTTAGGATAAAGAATGCTAGTTTGATTGGTGCAAATTTTGTTAGATGTAACTTTAGTGGATCTAAATTCGATAATGTTGACATAAGTGGAGTAAATCTAAATGGAGCTATAATGTTTAATTGTAAGTGGAGGAACATTAAAATTCATGAACTTAATAAATTAGATGGTCATTCTAGTGTTGTTCGATCAGTATGTTTCTCACCAGATGGAACTACTTTAGCTTCAGGTAGTTGTGATAAGTCAATCCGTTTATGGGATGTTAAGACAGGATAATAAAAAGCAAAATTAGATGGTCATTCTAATGATGTTAACTCAATATGT